GCACGCATGCCAGGCGAGTGCGCTACCAATTGAGCCACATCCCCAGCCCAAACACTGAACATTTTTATGTAGTTCTTCTCTAGTTATAGAAGCCCTCTTTATGTCCACAACAGCTATTACAAACTCTATGTTAGCATAATAAGTGTTCCAGGGAAAATGAATTGATCATCTGGCCATCAATATCCAACATTGGTAATGTGTATTACCATCCTCTCTTGTACATTACCTTTTATGGTACTATTTACAACTTAATTCACAGAAAATTTGTAAAGGATGTTAGTTTTCCCTGCACTAGCCAACTCAACAATGATAACTGTGCTCTTGGCAATTAAATTATCTCCATGTCTGAGTGAATAGTATTCCTATTCTTGGGCAACGGAACCCCCTCCAGCCACCCAAGTTGCCCTTCTTCCTCTGGCTCAGGCTGAGGTTCAGGAAGAGACACCTCTGGTTTTCTGCTTTGGTGATGAGTGGCTCCCACTTCTAGGCAACTGGAGGGAGGCAAAAGCCTAGGCCACGTTGCTGCTGGCCAGGCCCCATCTGTGGCAYTCACCTGCCTCAGGGACATCACTGCTACATTGTTTGCAGTGAGCTTCATAGACCACCACACTCCCCCAGAGGCCCCCTTTTAAAATTCATTCAAATGATCCCCTTTGACATCTTGTCAAGTCCATAGCTTGTCTCTTGTGAATAGTGTTGCAGTAAACATGAGCATGCAGATATCTCATTGATAGAATGATTTTATTTCCTTTGAATATATATACCTAGTGGTGGGATTACTGGATCATGGGATAATTCTATTTTTAGTTTTTTGAGGACTCACCATGCCATTTTCCACAATGGCTATACCAGTTAATATTCATACCAACAGTGTATGAAACAACCTTTCTATGCATCTTGGCTAGCATTTGTAATTTTTGTCTTTTTATAATATTCATTTTAACTGGCATGGGATAATATCTCATTGTAGTTTTGATTTGAATTTTCTTGATGACTAGTAATGTTGAATTTTTTTCATCTATTTTGTTGGCCATTTGAGAAACATCTATTCAGATCATTTGCCTATTAAAAATCAGTTTTTCTTTGTTATTGAGTGGTTATCACCAAATCATCACCCCTTTTCTGATGAGTAGTTTATAAATATCTTCCCTCATTCTGTAGGTTGTCTTGACTTTTTTATTGATTTCTTTGCTGTGCAGAAACTTCTTGGTTTGATATTATCTTATCTAGTTTTTGCTTTCACTGTCTATGYATCAGGGTTCTATCCAAAAAAAATGCTTTTCCAATCTCAATGTCTTGAAGTGTTTTCCTGATGACTTTTTTTAGTTGTTTCAAAGTTTCAGCACTTACATTAATGTCCTTGATCCACTTTGAGTTGTTTTTTGTGTACAGTGAGTGGTAGAGGTGTAGTTTCATTCTTCTATATGTGTATATCCAGTTTCTCCAGCATGATTTGTTAAAGCAATGGTCTTTTCTTCAAGGTATGTTCTTGRTTCCTTTGTAAAACATCAGATGTCTCTAAATATGAGAATTAATTTCTGGATTTTCTGTTCTGTTTCAATGCTGTGTGTTTCTGTTTTTATTCCAGTACCATGCTGATTTGATCACTGTGGCTTTGCAATTTGTATTGAGGTCATGTGTTGTATGCATTTCCATTTTACTGTACCACAACTACATGGAGAATAAATAACAGGTTTAAAATTTTTGTTACTTTTGCAAATGAATGTTAATATTTCATTTTAGTATATATTTATTTGATCACAAATTTAGACATCTTTTCTTATTTTTATGTTGCTTTTCCTTCTGAGAATTATTTACTCTTGCTTTTTTCCCATCTATATTTAAGTATAATTTTATTTCTAATTATATATTAAATACATATATACATGTATATGTTGAAGTCATCAATCATGTCAATTGTTATTTAATACATGATAATATTTAAAGAGACTCATATTAGTTGTTTAAAGTGTGAAACCAGAAAAAGTCCAGAGGAAACACAATAAAATATTACCACAAATGGAGTCATTGAAAATATTTTTGTGAATTTATTCCCAGATAGCTAATTAATATTAATTATTACAGAATATTTAAATTGATAAGTGATTTTGGTGCCAAAAATTTCATATATTAAGTGTCTATTAATACAAGAGTATGTTTTTTGGAATGATTATGATTTGTGGTGGCATATACTACTACTGTCTGGATCCCTATAATTTTATAAAATGTAGCACATGTTTCATGATATATGAGCCAGCCCCTTTGTTACTCCTCTTCCTTTTCTTGCTTTCAAATTTTATCTATTCAAAGTGACATATAAAATTATATGTATTTATTTTGTGCAACATGGTGTTTTGCAGTTCATGTATATTGTGTAATGGTTAAATGTAGCTCATTAACCCATGCATTATACCTCACACAGTTATCATTTCTTTGTGGTGATAGCACTCAACCACTCTTTCAKCATTTTTCAAGAATACAATATGTTGTCATTAACTATAGTCACTATGTTGCTTAATAGATCTCTTTTACTTACTTATCTTACCTAATTTTAACTTTGTATCCTTTGATTATCCTCCATTCACTTACCTTACCCTAGTGCCCTAGTCTTTAGAGATCACCATCCTACTGTATTTTGAGATCAACATTTTCAGGTTTCACATATGAGTGACTTATATATTATTTGTCATTCTATGTGTGTACTTCCCTTAATATAATGTCCTTCCCATCCATCTTTTATTGCAAATGTCAGAATGTTCTTCATTTATGTGGTTGAGTAGTGTTCCATTTCATGTAATATAATACACTTTCTTTAACTATTCGTCCTTTGAAGGACTCTGAGGTGTGCTACAATAAACATGGAAGTGCAGGTATATCTTTGGCATAAAAACTCTATCTCTTTTGGATATATATCAAGTAATGGGATTGCTGGGTCATAGAAACAAGGCTTCTTTTTCTATTATTAATTTCAAGATAAACTTCAAACTTGTTTTGCAATGTCTTCCTTCAAAACAAGAATTGTTTGATGAAATTACATAAACTCATTATTTATTTTGAAAAAAAATTTGTATATTTAGTGATTTTATGTGGCATCCATTTGTCCACTATATTTATGACTAGTTTTATAGGCATATGGAACAATCTTGACTTTTTCTCCCTTATTTTGTTCTTCTTTGGATCAACTCTTGGGAAGTCGTTAAAACTGTGTTACTTTTGTGGAAGTATCTTCCTGCTTTACTTTTCTTGAATATTTTGTGCTGGGAAGAAGAAATAAAAAAAGAAGCAAAGATGTAGAATAAGTGCACATACTCTGCATGCTAGATGATAAACTTTATAACAAGTTCTACTTGATATCATTCTAATCCAACACTCCCTAGACACCATTGTGCTGGGAAAGGTCTTGATATCTGAGAATGCCTKGGAAGACAGTGTTGAGTATTGCTATTCTTACCCTTGTTGCTTTAGACATTTGGTCAATGACATTTTCGGGGAAAAAAATCAAACAAAAATTTAAAAATTCTAAGGGCGTTTTCTCATTTTTCTTCATTTCAAATTCTATCATCCCATTTCTTAAATTTCTCTCTCTCAAAATCTCCACTATACATGGCATTAAATTGGATTAAATCTTATAGGATCCACTTCCTTTAGATATATAGCCATCATTGTAAGTAAGATTTTTCTGTTTTAGTCCCACAAGCTTTCCTGACTGAAGCAGTAATCAAGTTTGTATCTTTGACGCAAGTTTATTTCCTCCCAAAATATAACAAGCACTCATGGGACTGATGCCTGATAATACCACAAGTATAAGAATTAAGTATTTGAGTGTTAACATATTTATGAGAAAAAGTTGGGAGTATGCTTCCCATAAGAGTGGAGAGTGTGTGCCATTCACAGTAGGACTAATTTGACCTTTTTGCTGCTAAAGGACTGGTGCAAGATGATCTGTGTAATCTAGTCTCAAGAGGAGTGATACAGCTTTGTGGGTAGAGGAGAGCTGCCACTCAATAAAAGACATGGGTCAAACAGAAGTAGTTAAGATCTGAGCCTATGTGAAGGACAGATGGCTGCAAAAGGTCATTAGCTTCCTTGTCACAGAGCTAGAGAACATAGCCACTTCCTACTCAGGTAACGATCAGGGCAGCTGCTTACTTATTTTCCACATCCTGGATGGTGTTAACAAGAGGCTGATTCCTGGTTTCTGGAAGGGGCAAGATAACAAGGACAGCAAGGAGGGTGATGACTCCATAGATGATCCAGGGCAGACGGAGAGAATACCCCAGGAAGGTCATCAGGAGAGGAGCCAGWATTGCACCTATTCTGTGGAATACTGTAGTGATGCCTCCCAGTGTTGACCTTAGGATGAAAATAGCAATACAAAGAAAATCTTGTACAAATCTGTATATATATGTTTACATTTGTCAACTCCATTTCATTTTGGGAGACAATACAGCAGAGTTATTAAACACATGGGCTTTGAATAAGCTTTTAATTGTGACATTGGCCTCTACTGATTTCCAATTAATCAATTTCATCATTATTAAAATTAGAATATCCACAGCACCAATCCTGTAGTGTGGCTCTTAAGATTAAGTGAAAATCTGCAGTAAAGGACTTGGCAYATTGCCAGGCATAAAGTCTGTTTTAAATAATTGTGGATTATTAGTTTGCTTTTACAAGTTTGTTTTACAAGTTGGAGGGCATAAAGGAATGAACAACTAAACAGTCTCAGTTTTCTCCCTACAGTAAGTGTCAATCAGTTCAGAAAGTCCTGTTTGGAAAGCAGACAGAAGGTCRTTTAGCTCTTGTACCTGAATACAGTGGGGAGGAGCTCAACTTGGTGGAGAGCAGAACCAGTGCTGGCAGCAGAAACAGATCCAATTCCCAAAGTTGCTAAAACCACACGCAGAGTCTGCATTTCTGGAGAGAAGAGACCAGGGAGAATAAAAAAATCTTGGCTGAAGAAATCTGTCTATCCCTAACTAATTGTGGGGTGATTCTGTTGTAGGATTTGAAGGTGAGAAACAAATGACAGACAAAATTCAGCCCCTCAGAGATGATGGAGAGGTTGATGAGCTGCTGAATGCTGGGCTGAAACACTGAACCAAAGGATCTAAATCTCTTGCTTCAATTTTCTCTGCACATTTGAGTATTGCTCATAATGGTGGGAATAGAGAAATCAGGAAATATTTGTTTTATTAACTCTATCAATTTTTTCATGGCATTTTCTGGAGGGTCTAGAACTATATGTGAACAAAAAATGAGGATTTTATGACCCATGTCTTGAAYAGCTTAGAACTAAGAGTATGGGAGCAATGTGTGATGTGGGACAGGTCCTCCTCCACATAGTGACAAAGGGATTGGACAATGTGTAGAGAGGCAAGTTCTAGGTAATAATTCAGAATTTAAAGCCTAGCATTAGGAATCCTATTCAGACATGAATAATGTCATACTGAGAATTAATCACATATCTTGAATTACTGAATTCAGAAAGGTTAAACAGATTATTTTAAATTCATAATCAAAATAGGACTTTAAAAGAATATAGATTGTTCTCCTTTAAGTCAGGAAACTTCTGTTGGGGAGAAGAATGGAGACTTCCAGTCTGAAATCCTACAAAATATGTTCCTGCTCTGTGAACATGGTGGAGCATGGTGACCACTGAAATTCCTACAATCATTAATGAGATCATTTGGGTAATTTAGTAAAATAGGTTGGGTTAAATTCTTAATCTATTTCTAGTGTTTTTCCTAGTACATTATTGCTATACATAATAGTGGGGTTCATTTTGATACATTCATAAGTGCATATGACATAATTTGTTCCATTTCAACCCCTAGTACTTCCCCTTTCACTCTCCTCCTCCATCTCCCTGATCCCCTTCCTCTATTCTACTGGTCTTCCTTTTATTTGTATATTGTTTTTAGTTGGTACATTATAATCATACATAAAAGTAGAAATTATCATTCATTTCTTCTCTAAGTACAAATTATGAAACAGATTAGAAGATATATTAAAATTAAATTATCCCCTTACTTCTGCTGTACTCTTGCTTTCTGCCTGAAGACAAGRCATTTTTATGTCACTGAATTCAAGAAGCCTTCCCTAAAAATGTATTGAGTTAGGGAGGCCTTAAAAATCAGGAAGAGTCCCAGGGATAGTACTTGGAGATGCAATTGCAAGGCCAGAGGCACATGATTAGCTCCTCTTCTAAAAACCCTGTTTGTACCATTGAAACTGCTGTTCAGGTTCATCTTGGATGTGGTCAGGACAGCTTTATGTCTGAACCATACCTTAAGGACATAGGCACAGTTGGAGCCTAAGTCCTGCCAAGTGCTTGCCATAATCCATTTCAAATCTTCATATTAACTGCAAAGAATCCTTGGCTTTTAATGACATTCTTCTGGCATCAGGCAGGTAAGATGATGTAATTCCTAAGGAATGAGAAAACACTTTCTTTCCCCAAACCTTTGTCTCTCTCACCTTGGGGCAAAAATGTGTTGACCAGAATGGAGACTCCTGCCAGGAAGGAGAACAGTGTCTGGTTTGTCCGACGACCTATGTAWTTCAGAGTCCAAAGGGAAATGAATCTGGCTGTGAGCATGATGGCTCCAAAGAGAACCTGGAACAGGAAGATATTGCTCCCCAGGTGCTGCAGGTTGAGTACGAGGCCATAAAAGGATACAGCACTTGAAAATCTGAAGTGAAAGGAGAAGAGACATCTAATAACATTTAGTGCTTAAGGAACATTCCCTAAGATTTTGAAGGAGACTCCTACATGATGATTATATTGGCCCAAGATGGCATGTGGTCAATGATAATTATGGAATGGAATAATATAAAAAATGTTTTTAAGGCAGTGATCTTAAATTACCATAAAATTACCATGGGCTCTTTATTGCTATAATTTTTACTGAGCCACARAAGAATATATAGCAGATACATACATTTTCCTGTAAAATTTAAAGTTTTAACTGCATAACCCTATGCATAAAAAGGTAATTGAAATCTGAGCACATTGTTCAATTGGAAGGCATAAAGGAATGAACACAGATAGAGTTATACATTGGAAATTAGGGAAGTTTATTCTTTGCAACGGTGAGTCTCTCTTCTTTGATCCTTGGTGTAGAGTTATTTTTCATCTTAATACAGGTAAGTAAGGKTGCAGAGAACTAGGGAGAAGAGTTTGATATGTGATTCCTGGTTTTAAGAGTGTAATGACCTAGTCAGATGAAGTTGTGCCATAACATATCTATTCATTTTTATATCTGATAAGATAAGCACTAAAGTAAGCAATAGGTGTCAACTATGATTTCCACAATACTAATAACTGTAACAATATGAATGGTTGGGGCATAAATTATATAAGATAGTTTTAAAAGAGTAGAAAAAAATCAGTCCATTAAGAGAAAAAAATGGGAAAAAAGGGAAAGAAAGATTAAAATATTTTAAAGGAGAGAAATAAAGCAGAAGAAATGTATAAATTGAATCCCAAAAAGAAGGAGAATAAATTTTTTAAATAAAATAAAGTGGAAAGAGTTAGGGACAGAGAGGAAGACACAGCACAGGGGATGGAGAACACAGAAGAATTTTAGTATTAGAGGGAGAATATAAGTGAGAGAGTAGCAATAGCAAAAAAGAACTCACTAACCCTAAAAAACAAAATCATAAAATAAAAATCTGATAAAATATGAAAAAAGTAAGAGTTATATACATACATCCATTCATACACACATATGCATATATATATATATATATAAACAAAACCGCAAATACAATTGGAAGAACAAAAAAAAATGTTCACAATGAATGAAAGAATTGTCTTCATTGTGGTGGTTGAAACTGAACAAGGATGGGTATTTACTACATATGTTAGACTTCCCTTCCTTCCATTTCTTCCCAGGGTGTGTATATCTTATAGCAAAGATTGGGGATTATTAAGTCTTCCTCCTTTTGTCTCAATTGCTAGACCTAGAACCAAATATGGAGTAGCCTGAATCAAAGCTTATTGAAATGACTTAGGTTTTCTGTTCATTAGTACAAAGTAGTATGTAAAGAGAAATACCATCTGTTGGAATATTGTCTAGAAAGACTAGGTCAATGCACTCTTAGGGCAGGGATGATTCAAAGATCTAAATGGAAAGTTCCCACAGATGGGATCTATCCATAATTGGAACTTTGTCATATTCTGGAGATATTAGTAAAAGAAACCCATAGGGTGAGGTAGATGGTAATCTATTCTGGTTGTACCAATCCCAGACACTTCTTGATAATTTCACTCATAGGGTAACCAAGTTCCCTGGGTGGAAGTGGCACAGCAGGTCACAGAACACTCCACCACCCAAGACTATGGCCTTCCAAGACTCAATCCTTGAATGTAATCATGCCTGCCTGTTTGGCTTCCTAAATATCTTTAGCTGATTAAATGAGTCACCAGACTCTATGGGAAAGTAACTTGCACTCCCCTCTTTATCTGAACTGAATTCTCCTGTTGAAACCTTCTGTGTGCCTGTCTCAATGGTATGCATCCTAGCCATATGGTAGATGCCAGCCAGGATGCTGTGCCAATCTTTTCTATTGGTTCCTGTAGCAAAGTGGTTCCCACATCTAGTGTGACTTCCACGAGTTGGCATCCCACTTTGGCTCCCTTCTCCCAACTTGAGAAACATGGAGCACTTTCAATAACCTACTCCAACTGTAGATCCAGAGTAAGCTAAGTTAAGGCTTCCTTTCTATTCTATTGGAGTCTCCATCCCACTTTTTTTCTGCTTTTTCTTTCCTTATCACCCCTCTGTGGTGATCCAGGGCAGTAGCCACCACTGGCTTGGCACTGAAGTACACTTTCATGTCCTTCATTTGAAATATCAGTATTTCTGGGCCTCTCTGAGTCTCTGACTGTCTAGTATTGAATTATAATGAGTTCCCTTAAACATCTACCTCACTGAGACACAGTATTCCCATTGATTCAATTCAAAGCCACAGAGAAACTAGAAAGTGAAACCTTTCTTTACTCTACCATATTTGTTCCTCATGGCTAATAATTTTTGAAAGGAGGAATGTGGTTGCATCTTAAACATTTTGAAGTTACTAAACACCAGATGGTACTTACCTGGAAAAGCTCAAGCAGCAGGTTCTCATAATCACTTTGGGTGCATGGAACAATTGAAAAATTGATGGTTTGGTCTGGACTGCATCCAACTCCTTCTGTATAGTGGATTTCACATACTGAAACAACAAAAACAACAGGCATTTATAATATGTCAGTAATGGGCAGGTATAGTGGTAAGTACTAGAGGATGAGATAAGTATGTTTACTATCTTTGAAACCTCTGCCTCATGGGGAATATGGATGTTAAGTGATCTCTCTTGTAGGAAGAGTTACAAAAAAATGAGGGGAGAAATGAAAACTATCTAGGAATAAAGCCAGTTTAAAAACTGAGCTTATGAGAGGTAAAAAGCATTAACAAAAAGATTTGCATTGTACATCAAAAACAATGAAAAGGTACTTGTGTAAGGGTTTGAAATTTCTTTCCTGTCCACTGGAAATGAGATTTGTTCCCTCATTGTTAGAATTAGAGTTTATCTCTGTAAATCGATGAATTTTATAAAAGCTAGGTCCACTTTATGATTTGGTTCCAAGTAAACTTTTTCTAAGTATTATAGTCATGCTGACTCCACTCATGATTGGAGTGTACAGAGTTAAAAGAGTGTAAAAAGTAGGGAATCTGTCGATGGAGTATGATTTGCACCCAGGCCAGATGTTATAGCAGATGAAATTTGGTGAAATTCCAAGTGAAATATAATAGTTGCAAAAACATTTGGTGTCAGGGTTAGAACTTTTAGGCTTGACACTTCTATGTTACTTAATATTTTGGGGAAGTTTGGTCAACAGGTATCTAGGTACAGTTACATAGGAGAAATAACTTCTGGTCTTCTGTTGTACAGCAGAGTGTCTGTTGATAATGATAACATATTCTGTATTTCAATAAAAGCTAGAATAAATAATTTCAAATGTTCTCACTACAAACAATAAATGTTTGAGATGATAGATATGCTTACTCCAAGGTGAACATTACATAATATATCCATGAATCAGAATATCACAAAATATCCCCAAATGTGTAGATTTACTATGCATCAGTTAAAGGTGACAGTAGCCTCTTGTTCTCTTACAGGGGTTATCTAAACATCACTCAATGTCACACATGTAAATATCAAATGTATTCAGCACAAGAGAAGGCACTTAATAATTTTCAAATAGTAATACTTTATTTCTGATAATAAAACTACAATGAGCTGTGCACAGTGGCACATTCCTGTAATCCCAGCAGCTCAAGAGGCTGAGGCAAGAGAATCGCAAGTTCAATGCCAGCCTGAGCAACTTAGTGAGGCCCTAGTAACTTAGCTAGACCCTGTCTTAAAATAAAATATAAAAAGGGCCTGGGATGTGGCTCAGTTGTTGAGTGCCCTAAATTTGATCCATAGGACCAAACAAATCAACTCCCCCAAATGCCCCAAAGCAAAAAAAAAACAAAAAAACAAGCAAACAAACAAAAAACCAACCCCACACAATCACAAAAAAAAAAAAAACTATAGTGACTTAGCACAGGATACCACAGACAATTTTTACCCCTGAGCTCTAGGCCATATAAGCACTGGTTCTTATTGCAACTGCTTAATTATATGCTGTAGCAAAAAACAGTCATTAATAATACATGATCAAGTGGGTTTGGCTACATTCCAATACTATTTCATTTACAAAAACAGGTGTTAGTCTGGACATAGTTTGCTAATCTCTGGTTAGTGGATGCTGTTGTATCTTTTTTACTCACTTTTCTCATTCACTTCTCCAGCTTCTGGGAGTGTTGATGCTGGTTGTTGTGGCCCTCACTGAGAATTGCCCTTGGATAAACAAAACCTCCTCACCCAATGCCATATCTTTGTCCTTATCCAATAACTGAAAAATTCAAGCATATCAAAATTATGCTCCTTGCTTCAAGGAAGAGAAATTTTCGTGGGCAATCCTAGTTCCAGTGTTTATTACAAGATCTCCTGGGTCCTCTACTACAACTGCATTATACTCTGACTTTTATTTCTGCCTAATTCCATTTCTTCTCCTCACAGAAAATGTCTTGAAAGAACACCTCAATAAACCTCCTGCACACAAATCTCAGAGTTCCCAGTTCCTAGGAAACCAGATTTACAATACTTGTAATTGTGTGGTAGTAGTCAAATAAATTTATGCTATAATGAGAATCTAGAGCTAGATCATCCAATAAATACAACATAATGGTGTTAGCTGGTTCATACAGTTGTAATTTAGGTATTAAAATTTTCAATGGTGGTAAACTGGGATGGTTGGTGGTAGAACAGAGTGCACCAGTATGCATATGATCCCAAGATTTCAAAAGTTTCAAGAAAAGGAATAATTGTTCACACTTGAGAATTCAATAGCTCTTGTAAAGTGCTATGAATGCATTTAAGAAAGACAATGGAAGACTGGTGGTGACTGACTACCAATATAAAGTGGAATGTGAAAACCAGAAGATGTATATAAAGAGCAGTATATAAGGAGACCCTCATCTTCCACAGGTAGAGGGAAGAAAAATATGAAGAACAAGTTCCAGGACTAAGTTTTAAGAATAATGTCAGGTTTATATGACATTATATGGTTTCTTTTGTGAAAAGACCTGGCCTTAATTKAAAAGCAGTACTCCTGTTGGGATAGTTATACCTGAGCTGAGGCATTTGGTCCTTTTGAATCCTTACATCCCCTAGTACTACTTGGCATGAAAAAAAAAAAACTGACCCCTCTTCCCTGATAAAATCTAGTGTTACTTCCTGGTTAAAAGATAGTGCAGAAGTTTATGTTTGAAAGAAAATGTATAATTTCTCTGCCATGATTTATTACTATTTTCCTCCTACCAGATGACTAAAAGAAAAATATAATCTGTCTGGGAGATGTTTTGTCTACTGAGGAGGAAAAGTGCCTTTATGTTCAAAGTGCTCAAGTAGCAAGCTAAAACCATCAACTTGAGAGCACACATGGGGAATAATTTTTTAATTTAAATTTTTTTTTTTGGTGCAAATAGCAATCATACAGAATAGTAGGTTTCACTGTGGCATATTCCTACATGCATATAACTTTATAGTTTAATTAYTTTTATTTCCAAGTCACACCTCTTTTTCCTCCCTGTGATCCTCTTCTTTAMTCTAACAGTCTCCCTTCAATTTTCATGAGATTCTCCTTTCTCCCCTTTTTCTCTCCAGCTGCCACATATGAGAGGAGACATATGACCTTGACTTTATGAGTCTGAATTATTTTACTTAACAAAATKATCTCACATTCCAACTATTTTTTGACAAATGACAAAATTTCATTCTTCTTTATGGCTGAATACAGCCTTGTTGTGTATAAATATAGCAGTGTCTTTAACAATTTATCTGTTGATGAATACATGSTCCATAACTTGGCTCATGACTTGTGTTTCCATAGACATTTGTGTGAATGTATCACTAGAGAATGCTGATATTATTTATTTTGGATAAATACTGAGCTACTCACTCTTATAGCTGGTCATATGATGGTTCTATTTCTAGTTTTGATGAATTTATATTCTGATTTCCATAGTTGCTGTGCTAATTTACATTCCTAYAGTGTATCAGAGTTCCAATGCCCCAGCATCCGCACCAGAATTTATTGTGATTTGTATTCTTAATGACTGCTGTTCTAACTAGAGAGATAAAATCTCAATATAGTCTCAATATGCATTTTCTTAGTGGCTAAAGATATTGAAYATTTTTTCATGTTTGTTGACCATTTGTACTTTTTCTAAGAAATGCCTTTAGTTTATGCCCATTTATTTAGGCAATTTGCTTTTTGGTGTTGAGTTCTTGATATTAATTATCTATCAGAAGAGTAGCTGAAAAAGATTTTCTCCCATTCCATAGGCTCTCTTTTCACACTATTATTTCTTTGATGTGCAGGAACTTTTTAATTTGATGCTATTCYATTCAATGATTTCTGATATTATTTTCTGAGCTATAGAAGTCTTATTAATGAAGTCATTGGCTGCACCTATATTTTGAAGTGTTGCCCCTATATTTTCTTCTAGCAGTTTGCAAATTTTTTTACCTTATTCTTAGGTCTTTTATCCATTTTTTAATTGATTTTGTGAAGGATGAGATATATCTAGTTTCAGTCTTTTACATATGAACATCCAGTTTTCCCAACACCACTTACTAAAGAAGATGTCTTTTCTCCAACATGTTTTGGTGTCTTTGTCAAGGATAAAATGAATTAATGGATGGGTTTCTTGCTGGGT